CGACTTGCCACTTGTCGTATTCAATTCGTGGAACAACCCTTTCACGACCCATTGTTGGTATTGCTTCTCTTGGCCCTTCTACTCCTATTTGCTTTGTCCCCTTACAGCCTGACACTTGTGTGCGTTCTGCGTAAGCTCATGGCCCATTCCACGTGCCGGCCATTAAGACAATTGGCCAAGCAAAACCAATTTCTGATAAGCCTCTTTTGCTTAAAAGCCAAATTATGGTATTTGAAAAATATTCGCTATACCTTTCCTTTTTTCTTGTCGTTTTTTTTCGCAATAAGCAGCCCAAGACAGCAAAAAGTCCGAGTGTGCACAGCCCCCAACTCGGTTATAAAGTAATTTCCCCAGACGCATTGAACCCTTCTAAGAAAAATAAGGGAAAGAAGCAACAGCAGCACAAGCAGAACATGGTCAGTACAACTCAATGGAGGTTCCTGCCTCAGACTGGCTTTCTTTTTATTATTTTCATTTTTTATTGAACAAAAGCCCTAAGGGACTATTTGGCGGCCATCGACAAAAAAAAAAAAATAAAGGTATTATGCTCAATATTATTATCGGTCTCTGTCTGTCTCTCTGTATGTCGCTCGGCCTCTATAACTGGGCCTTTGCCACAGCGTGGACAAAATTAACTATCAACGGCAATGCGGCAATGCCCTGAAGTAATTTTAAATAAAATATTTATAAACGTATTTGCGCATTGAAGTGCGACCGTTGTCATTTGCCAGAGTGTAGAAAAAAACAACAACAACAACAGCAAAGCACGCCAAATGCAGATTGACATTACAACGAACTCCCTTATACCCTTTTTGCAGGGTTATTTAACAAATACGACTATTGAGGGATTTGACTCGAAAGTGCTTTCGAGTACTCATAAATGCAAATGACTCGCAATTACAATAAACTTTTATATTTCTTGAAATTATCAATTACCAAATCTGCCTCACCCCATTTGCAGTCTCTTTAGCTCTTCCTCTGGGGCCCAATCTAACACGAGTGAATTTTACAATTCTTCTCTGCGTTGCATTCGCAAACGTTTTACTGTCAACAGCTCTGCTTTATAGCTTATCAAATATTTACTCCCAAAAAAGTCCTTGATATGATTATATAATTATTAAAATTTGATAATTATATAAAATTAAAATATCATCTTGTGTTTCCTTATTAAAGTCCATTTGCCAATCGCTTTACATTCAATTTCCTATGACAATTTATAAGATGCGTTAACAATCTAAGAAAATGCTCCACAAGGGTCCATAATAATCATATTAATAAGTCTTAAAGCAAATGAGGCGTGGCCGAAGGCGTAAAATGATTGTAACTATGACAAAGACGACAGAGAACATGGGACGGGACCAGGCAAAAGAGAACCCGAGGCGTTTTATTAAAATAATAAAGTTCTAATTTAATTATGAAGCAAGCACAAAGGCAGAGACAGTCCGGGAGATATGGGGGTGTCGGGGGCGGGAGATTGCGAAGTAGCAGCAGAGAGCGCAATGTGAGCTATGGTAAGTGTGACTATGCGGGAGTTACTTTTCATTTTGATAACTCACGTACCCCTCCCGAGGGCCCTAATTAGCAGGCGGCGGCCGTATAACCGAAAAATCAACGCGCCCTCAAGCTGCCTTTTGTGGAAGCCTGGGGTTGGGGCTGAATTGCGGCGAAGTGGTTTGCAAAATAAAGGACCATAAAGTGCTAATTGAATAAAACGGCACATGACTTGCATAACTTATTATCAAAAATATATATACCTACATTGTATATATATATATACTATATTCCCGCTGGCCCTTCATTGCTATGCAGCCCAGAACAGACCGAAAGAGAACCGGAGGACTTAAACGGAACCGAACCGAACCCGTCCGCGCCTGAAGCGTAAATTTATTTCATTTTCATAAATTTAAAACGTACTTTAAGACAAAGGCGAGCGACACCCAAAGAGAAGCAGGTGGTTGCTGGTCGTGGAGGGTCAGGAGGATGTATGGCAACAGAAGGCTCCGCTTAGAGACGTTTTGGGCACCCAAAAGGATATTTAGCTGGCGGAAATATTTTTACGTTTCGTTTAACGTGCCAAAGATGGCCAAAAACCTGTCTTCTAGCCAGCTCTGACCCCATCCACTCGCTCAGCTGCCTTCTTTTGCACAGTGCCCCATACAAAAGTCTCTGGGCAAAATTGGGCGGACCACGTAAAACTAATTTAACCCGCAACGTTCACGGCCACTTTTGTTCGTGTTACGCTAAATTAGTCGACCTGCCGCCTGCCACAAGAAGCCGAAGCCGAAGCCGAAAAGCAGAAAACAAAAATTACAAAAACGAAAAATTTGTTTCACCTCGAATAGGAACACCGCCACAACAACAACAACAACAAGGACAGCAATAACAGGGCACATACTATACTATACTTTACTATACCATAAAAAATGATTTTACCTTGGGGAAATTTTTGCAACAGTTTTTAATTTGTAATGCGCTAAGGCCACTAAAACAAAGTGGTTAGTTCTTAGCGGGTAATTGCAATAGGCCATGAGTGTAGGTGATCTAAACTCATAAGAGTTGTCACGACTTTTCAGATTATTCGAGCTAACAGTTGTAAGAGCATAAAACTGCAAGAGATTTTTTTGTGGAATATTCTTAAGAATCGTTAATCTGCGATTAAAGGTAGAAACTTTAACATCAGTTGAACTCTTACTTCAAGTTTTACGAATTAACGATTTGATGAAAGAAACTAGCTGAGAGTAAAGAAAGCTGAGCATTTATTTCATGGATGTATAATTGAAGGAAAAAACTAGATAAGCTGCGAGTAAAGGAAGACACTTAAAAACCAGCAGAAAATTTACTTCAACTTATATAGTAATAAGAAAGGAAGTAGGAGCATCCAAGTATTGCTAACTATCTTTCTCTTTATTTAATAACCAAACAACTGGGTAAGTTGCAAAATGTCAGATTATTGCTTTTGAATTTTAAAGGAAATACCAATACATTTTGGAAATATAACTTCAAAGGAAACTAATGAGCTACGTTTAAGCAACTCAGCAGAAGAAGTCTGCAGATGCTTTTCCGCTAGCATTTAAAATTTCGCTGTAGCCAGAGTTCGACGAAAACCCTCCACAGATCAATAAATATTATGCAATCAACTGCACTCACCACCTGTTCAGCTAATTAGTTTGCCTGCCAATTAATTGGGTTCAATTCGAGTGGTGTGCAGGGTATTCAATCGTAGCCCAGCTGGCCGAACCTTTTGTGTAGCGACGAGTCAATTGTTTAGTGGGCTGTCATTAGGCGAGCTTCCATTTCATTAGCATTGTGGCCAGGTTTGGCAGCAGCTCTTGCGATTTTTAATATGCCCAACACGTTTTGAATTGTTAAAGCGGCTGCCGAAGGCCGGACCTTTCCGGACCTGGCTTCCGGCCGGGGCGCCGCTTTAGCTGGCAGTCATGTCCGGGTGGCCACCAGTTGGGCTTTGATCGGCTGGACGCCTGTCAATGGCACTTGCAATTGAAACGCGAGGGTTAGCCATGTTTCTGCTCCCCCGACCGGTTCCCCTTTGGGCCCACTCGTTTGGACGTAAAGCAAATATAATCATTGTTATCACGGCTGTCGCTGCGTCTGTCGGCTTTGGCGACGCGACGACGCGGCAATTGATGTCATTTTAAGGGGAGTCTCTTTTTAATGCATATTAATGTCAATATTAATGTCAATATTTGCGCTTCTAATGACCGTCCGCTCTGCTGTTGACGGCTTTGTTAGTATTTAAATGCCGTTTGATGTGCCATGTCAGGCACTAACGACAACGGCCTTATCGAGTATATGCCCTCGTAATTAGAAATACTTGGCTAGAAAAATTGCAGACCACCTCAGGAGCCTGAAACCTGAAGCGGCGCCTGATTAAAGGACCTGACGACATTCTGTTGACATTTGTAAAGTTTCTACCTAGCTATTAAGATCTCAACTAGCTGGGCTCATAAAACGGCCGCAGCTGCCCAGCACTAAAGGCAGCGACATTCTTAAAGGACAAACTTTGTCATTTGCTATGAAGAAGGGAGGGGGGAGGTAGAGACAGGCTCAGGTACGCAGCAGCTGGCAAAAGTCAAACGTTAACTAAGCGCCGAAAAACTTGTCACACAAAATGCGGCCAAGCATAAGTAAACTCCTAAGAAATTCAAATGAGCGTAAGCGCAAAATACTAAAAAAAGACAGAGATAGAGAACGAGCGAGTGACCGAGAGAGAGAGAAAGATGGGAAGAAACACAAAATATGCCAAAAAGTCAGCGGCAGAGACTTGAATTTTAATAAATGAAGTCGTTTCACAGTCGAGAAATAACTCGGCAGCCCTGGCAACGGGTTCCCTTTCCTAGGAGCAGGCGAGCTGCACATGTGCTCCAAACTAGACATCAAAGAGATTGGCCAATATGAATATATTTGTTAAAAAAAAAAATAAATAAAAATAAAAAGGGACGGTAGTATTGAAGGTGTGAGAGCGGAAAATATTTGAACAGAAGCTTTGAACTCTATTCGAACTTCAGAAGTATTTATAAATTTTAAATATATTATTGTTTTTCTATTTCCTTCTATAGCGAATCTCACCTAAACACAAACAGGTCAAATAACTATTTTTAATATTATATGATTTACTTTATAAGTATCAATCGTTTACGCTGTCCCTTAAAAAAAACCTAATTACTGAGAAAAAGCTGAGATGGAAATATTGAACCTCGAATAGATTTTCATTTAAAAACTTATTGTTGGGATAAAGCAAAGATGAAAATTTAATTTAATCTATGGATTCCCATTAGCAACCGTCAGGTCTTTGCTTTAACAATGCCATTTTTCGCAAAACAAATCTGAGCGAAATATAATTGACTCTCAGTTTATTTCTCTTTGTCAATTTGTGTTTCGTTTAAGCAGAAATTAGATTGCAGATATTAATATCATTTTCTATTAGTATTCCCTTATCTACGTTGCTATGTATCATTTGAGTATAAAACTGTTGGACTTACCATTGTTAATGACATATCGCGGATTGCTCATGTCCACCTTGGTCTGGTTTATGATCCAGTAGATGCTGGGCGTGGGATTGCCAATGGCTTTGCACTGCATTTGGACAGTGTGACCCACCTCGATGACGCGTGTGCCCGGACCCTGTGTTATAACCGGAAAGCCCGCTGGTGTTTTATCGCCTGAAACGGGAAAAAAAAAAGATATATATTAAAACAAAACAGTTAAAAAAAAAACCGTAAAAGAAAACAACAACGAACCGGCTTTAAAAATTATGTTGCATAGCGAAAAATAACAATAACAAAATATATGTATGTGGCATGAGAAGAGTTAGCAAAAGGCAACTTGCGGGTGGAGTATTCGAAAGCAATATGCCACAAATATGCACGCATGCACACACACACACCCATCCACACACACACACACACACACATGTAAAGTATTGTTTTACATGAAGCTTTTATAAGCGGAAGTTGCCGTTTTTTGTTTTTAAAAAGCTCGCCTCGCTGCTCGGTTGCCTTTGTTGCCGCTTTCTACGCCATTTTGTAAGTCAAACAATGGCGTGCAGCAAACTCCCGTGAATATGTGAGTGTGATTGTGCGTGTGCGTGTGTGTGTGTGTGTAGCGGGGGTCAGCGTTTTTGCTTGTGACAATTTCTTTTGTGGCACACTTTAAGGGCTTGGCATTCGCATTCGCATTCGCAGTCGCAGTCTCAGTCGTATTCGCATTCGCATTGTTTTTGCGGTGGCAGCGGGGTCTGGCAGCCAGGGGCGGGGGACAGTTTAAAGCAAATCCGCAACTGGCAGCCAAGTGGTGGCGGCTGCTGCCGCTGCTGCTGCTGTTCACGACTGCATCTTTCAAATGAACAAAGCTCATTTACATTTTCCAATTAAATCCAGCAGGCAACGGCGACGAATTCCGCCCAGCCACCCGAAGCCGTTCGGTTTCCACTTTTAACAGCCAGCTCCGACAGCTGGCATTGCACATCTGCCGGATGCTGTTGGCGCTCCCACGTTTCCCCTCGGGCGCAACTCTTAGCTGAGGGGCATGCCAACTATATAATAAGGTATGTAAATGACATAAATATCTCGAATTGATCAGTTGAATGCAAATTCGACAAAATTAATACTAATTTCAGCCTTTTCGACTGTACAAAGAGACTGAGCAAAATCTTTAAGCGTAGAGATATGCCAAATGTTTCTCTGCAATTAATTAGCTGAATGTAAATCTCGTTTATATCTGAACTATAGAGACTGTCGAAGCAGCTTGTACTTTTATCACACCGATAAAATATAGCGTTAACTCTCTTGTTGCTTGGAAAGTATTTAATTAATTTTAAATATATTTAGCCACGAAGCGCTGAACTCCGGCTTGTGAACCTTGATCCTCTGTATTCAGCTTTGCCAAGGACTCGGAAGATGTAAGGGTATATCTATAATTCGTTGAGCTTAGCTTTCTGCTGCTGTTTTTATTCGACTTGTTATTATTTTCATTTGTGCATTGCGCTAAAACATTTAACAGCGGCAACATCTACAATAAACGGCACACGAGTTAGCTGCAGTTGCTCCTTCCTCCCCCCAGAATCAACCCAGCTACTTCCCCTCGCCCGCCTGTCCCTTTTCTTACTAACAGACGGACTTTTGTTGTTGTTGTGCCTGTGCTTGTGTTTTTCAGCGTGAAATTAAAATTTAACAGAGACAAAAAACGCGACTGCATATGTATGCATTATAATACACACACATATATGTATATATATACTATATGTGTATATACATATGCATAAATGCAAAAACAAGAAACAGAGCAACAATGGCAACAGCAGCCACAACAACAACAACAAAAACAACATTGATGTTGACATTTGACGTTGCCGTCATTGCCGCCTCTCTTCAGCCTTCCCCGTACTACGCTCTGTCCTCTTTTATCCGTTAGTCTGTTGGCATTTTCAGCCATTTTCTGCGCCTGCCACGCCCACTTTTCCTTGGCTTTTTGGGCGTTTTATTTATTATTGCAGCGTTGCTTCTTCACAAATGCATAACGAAAAACACAAAAGCAACAATAACAACAAAGCCGAAAAACCCAACTGAAAACTGTGCCAAAAATTAACAAATAAAACTTTTTATTAAACAAATGCACCAAAAGTGTATTCCTGCTTGCTTAGCGTGTGTGTGCGAGAGTGTGTGGTTATGTTGTGGGATAAAAGAGAATGTGACAAACAGACAGACAAACCAACAGGCACGCAAAAGCAAACATACAAAGTACAAAAGCTGAGGGTAAACATCAAGTTTCAGAAGAGAAAAAACAGATTACTTTTGCCCGGCAGGAGACGAGAGAGCATTTTAGTTGAATTGCAAGGCCCCATATATATACCAGTTTCTTTTTTAATACCCATACATTTGTTCTATTATAAGGAGATTATATTTGCACTTTTCCCCTCAATTTCTTTGTAACAGGGGAAAAGTGCGAGCGTAAGCCCAAAATTTATGTACCTTTCTTTAACATCCAAGTCAAAGTTTAATAGTTGAAAATTGATTAATAAATGTCGGGACGGCGCGTACGCCATTCCCGGCTACCAAAAATTACACGCACGAGTTATTCACATTAGGAATAATCGCAGAGGTCAACTCAACCGAATGTGCAATGGCCAAGCCTCACTCCGGAGGAACCGCCTTCGTGATCACGGTTAACCTCTACGCCAGGTAAGTATGCTTAAACCAGCTCAGCCCTTGGGTTACTATACAGCAGCTGCTAGAACCGCTTGGGAATCATAGGCAAAATGCTGTATAAACGTGCACCTAGCGTCAGGCAATACTTTTTTGCACAGGATTTGTTTAAGGCAGTTCAACATCTGGGTAGCATAGGTTGAATATAATTATGAAAGAGAATTAGGTAAATAGGGTAATTTATTGGCACTTCCTTCTGAATTAAATGAAATCTGGTAATATATGATTTTGACTCTTTACATTTTTGTAAAAAAAAAACGATTCAGTCTGACGTTTTCATTAAGGATGATCGTGAACCACTGAAAAATGCTTGAGATTAATAAATTAATCGTCCAGCAATAATATCTATTGCTAAATGAAATACTGAACATTTCTAATATCAAATTAATACACATATGTAACAATTTAATTACAAATATAAAACGTAGAAGCCCGTATTTTTATACAAATTTAAATACATTCGCATTTACTTTTATTTTCCCGATGAAGTGAATTTTATCAGTCATGCCTTTACCATACAATATTTGCAAAACGCTTTAAAGAGCGTTTTTTTTAGTGTCTTTTGGAGCACTATTCGAGCATTATGTTGGGACAAATATTTGCCATTGTTCTAGACTAAAAATATGCAGTTTTTCAGTGGCCGACGCAGTGGCTCACAAATGCGGCACCAAACCCAACTAACTGGTGGCACATGGAGCACAGCATTGACACCATCGATAGGGCTACACCACACTCTGGTTAAACTACATTTCAGTTAAAGACTAAAGTTGTTGATTTTGATGTTGTTGTAGTTGCTGTTGTTGTTCATGTTTTAGTGCACCCCATGGACACATTGTTGTTGTTGTTGTTGTTGTTGCCTATGCGTCGCCAATTTTGAAAATGCAATGAAAAATTCTAAAAGCAGAGGACAGCGAAAACTCAGAGCCTGGCCAACTGGCGAACACTTCATTTACAGCGTTACGAGAGGCGTCAATGAAGTGAGGGGGTGTGCGGGGCAGGGCGGGGCGGGGCAGACAGGAGCAGGCAAGGGCGCAACGAACGCATTGCTGACCAATGCAACGCGCCAGTGCGTGCTGTGTGTGTTGGGTGTGCGTGTGCATTTATTATAAAGCCAAGCGGTCAAAGAGAGAGCAAGAGCGAGAGAGAGAGATAGCGCCGGAGTCAGAGCGAGCGAGCGAGAGAGAGAGAGAGAGATAGAGCAGCATCCAGTGGCTGCTGCTGCTGTCGTTGACTGCCAAATTCATGTGGCTTTTCATGCATTTCAATTAAGCTGCTGCTAGTTGGCGGTTGCTGCTGCGAAAAGTGTTGGAAAATGTGCGAACAATGTATTTGCAGTAGCAGCAGTAGCAATACCAGTAGCAGATGGAGACAGAGACAGAGACAGAGACAGCGACAGAGAGAGAGACAGAGAGAGAAAGGTACAGACACAGCCAATTCTATCCCGTTGCGACAGCTTTTTAATGAATTAGCTAATAAAGGCAGAGTCGTGTCGACTCTCGACTTGTGTCGAGTGCTGCACCTGGTCACACTTTGCTTTCATTTCATTTTTATTGGGATCAAACACACTCCTACACCCACATACATACACCCACACACACACACACACACACAGACACTTGCACAGCTCTCAATAGACTGTGTTGGCAATGTCTTGACGGCGATAAACATCATTAGACGGCACAAAAGCGAAGGCACATAAAGCGCTTTATTTGCATGTTGTCTGCTTTTAGATGCCACTGACCCCCCTCCACTGCACAACAAAAAGCCAAAGAAACAAGAAGGGGCACGGGTATCGGGGCTAGATACAAGGTGCTCGACTGTGATACCCATACAAAGCATACGCTCAGGTGGCAGGTGTTTGCATTATTGAGTCACTTTCAAAGGCGCATTTTCACGCCGCGTTTTTTCTCTCAGTCTTACTCTGATAAATATGCTGTTTGCCCAGGCTTGCCAGCGGGTAAGTTGTTTTCAATACCCTGCCAGTGGAGGCATTAAAATATTGCTTAAAGACTCTAATATATTGGAATATATCAAATAAGCCACCGTTTCAATACTTTGTCATACTGTTTTACGATCTGAGAACTTGCCTTGAAAATTTAAAAATTGTATAAAATGGATTTTTTAGCAATAAGATTATTTTTGAGATAAATGTTGAGAGCATTTTATGGGACAATTGATATAAAATAGAAAAAGTGCAAATACAAATAAATTCGGCTATACAAATTACAAAATGAAAAAAATATTAAATATAGAATATTGGTTTTACTACGGAAAAATAAACGTTTATTAAAATAATACGTTCGGAAGCGAATGTTCAATAAAAATAAAAATATGTTTGTTTTCCATATACTAATAGTGAAACATTTCAAACTCAGAAAACTTTATCATTTGGCTGCTACATAAAATATACATAAGATCATTTGAATATAGTTTAGTTCCAGGGCATAGAATCTTCGGTA